ATACCTCGGTCGAACTATAACGACAAATAAAAAAAGTCTAAAAAACTCCCAAATAATTAGGTCACGATGCCCAGAAATCCAATAAAGATAAATAAGTGATCTACCGCATCAAAAGCATATCAACGGAGAAGAGGATTCAATCCCTCTTAAAAGGTAATACAGTCTCAAATAATTTCGCCCACGAAGACAAAACACGAAGAGGCAGTCACGAAGGCAAAACACAAAGGCAAAATAATTTGGTCCCAAATGGTTTGGGTTGTTGACCTTATGTTTGATATTGTTGACTAGTTCTGCAGCTCACTCCTCCGCTTCATATAGTTCCACTATGAGCTCAGAGGAGAATCGAAAAATGAAGTTGACTCCGAGAGAGGTGGAAAAACTAATGCTCCACAACGCTGGATTCCTAGCACAGAAACGTCTGGCTCGTGGCTAATGGCTCAATCATCCTAAAGCCGTAGCACTTATAGCAACACAAATTTTGGAGTTTGTACGTGATGGTGAGAAGTCTTTTGCATACTGTGCAGATTGAGGTTGGTGTGGCTTATTGATTTGTCGGCAGTGTATTTTCGGTGATGGGCTCAGTATTTGTGTTGAATTATCGGCACTATGACAAAGAGGCAGTCGGCTTCGAGTTTCACATCGGGTTCATTAGCGGCAGTCAGCTTCGTGCTTATATGCTTGGCAACTGAAGAAGCAGTCAGTGGCTTGAATGCTGTCGGTTGGTTATGGGCAGTGTATTATAGGAGTTGTCAGTGTGGTTTATGGGCAGACAATCTCTGTCAGTGAGTGTTTCTGGTTCGCTGTTTGATGAGGGATAGTGCTGTGATGTATTGATGGTTGTTATGTTTTGGGGTGTTAGGGTTAGGGTTAGGATTGGTGGCTCTGATACCAACTATAAATATTTGTGATTGAATGGGATACTCAAACTAAGAGTAAAGCCCCATATATACAGCCAAATAATAATACAAAGTGACCTAAACATCCTTGTATTTTAGGCAAACTATAAAAGTCATAATAAGGGTAAAAAAGGGAAAAGAAATCCAAATAAACTAGATTATACTCTAACAAAGATAAATCGAGCCAATAGTTTGGTAAGGATGTCACCTAGTTGATCGCTAGAGTTGATGTATGGTGTAATAATCTCCTTTCGTATCACGAGATTTCAAATAAAATGACAATTCACTTCGATATGCTTAATTCCCTCATGAAATACCGGATTATTGGCAATGAAAATAACTGTCTGGTTGTCATAGTGCATCTACATAGGAGAGGGCACATTAATACCTGTATCATGAAGTAGAGAACGAACCCTTAACATCTGACATGCACTATACACCATGGCCTGTTATTCAGCTTCTACATTCGAATGTGCAGCTACATTATGTTTCTCAGTGCGCCAAGTAACAAGATTACCACTGATAAATATAAAAAAACTCGAAATGGATCGTCCATCAACACAACTACCAGCCTAGTTAAAATCAGAAAAACCAGCAATAGTCATGGATGATGAAGGACGATATAATACTCTTTGCCCGGTGCTCCTTTCAGACACCAAAGAATGTGAAAGACAGCCTCCCAATGAGGCTTACAAGGAGCGTGCATGAACCGATTAACCACACCAATCGCATAGGTAATATCAACACTTGTAACTATGAGATAAATTAGCTTAGCAACTAACCTCCAATAACGTCCTACATTATCAAAAACTTCACCACTCTCACCATCTAACTTAACTGTAAAGTCCATAAGAGTATCGGGACATGCACCAAGAGTACCAATTTCAGACAATAAATCCAATACATACTTCTGTTGACACAAACTAAGAACAACTTATATCCCAAGAAAGTACCAACGAAGACCTAAGTCTTTGGTATGAAATTGTTTCGCCAAATCATCTTAAAGTGGTATCAACATACACAATAAGAATAATAACACATGTTGAAAAACGATGAATAAAAATTGAATAATAACATAGAGCACTAAAAACCATACTAAAGTACAACAGTACTAAACTTATCAAACCAAGCGCGTGGTGATTGTTTCAAACCATATGTTATTTTCTTCTAACAACACACTAATTGTTCCTTACCAGATGTAACATAATCTAAAGGTTGTACCATAAATACCTCCTTCTGTATATCTCCATATAAAAAGACATTTTTAATGTCCAACTGATACAAAGGTTAATCACAACTAACTACAACAAAAATAAGAACTCTAACAGAGTTAAGAGGAGTAACATGGGATAAAGTCTCAAACTAATCCACACCATATGTCTGGGTGTAGCATTTAGCAACCAGACGTGCCTTCAAATGCTAAACTTAACCTATGTCCAATTTTCATGAAGGGTTTTCACTTCCTCATCTACAGTCAGTTTTCAACCAAGAGATATCAATGCTTGTTTCAAGAAACTAGAAACAAACACACAAGACAAAGTTGGTGCAAAACAATGAAAGATAAAGAAAGACAATGTAAAGAAACAAAATTAGAAGTGGGATGCTTAGTATAGTTTCATGTATCTTTGAACTAGCTGATGGCTCAAAGGGTAGGACCCCAGTAGAATCAGGCGCTAATTGTGGAGCTGGAGCAAATGTAACACCCTGTCAGTTCTTGGAACAGCGATAAACCTCTAAGGGAGGAGTAATAACCAAGGAGAAAGAAAATACATAGTGGCACACTAGGCACACAGTTTCATACAACTGGCAACAAGAACTCTCCTGACCGAGAAAAATTAAATATGGGAAAAGAGTATGTCCCGACGCAAAAGCCAAGAAAGTTGACTCAAAAAAGGTAACATCAACACTGACATAATATCGACGAGAAACAAGGTCATAGCAGCAACAACCTTTTTAAATTTGAGAATATCCCAAAAAAATATACTTGATCAAGCATAGAAAAATTTTATCCTGATCCGAACTAAGAAGATGAACAAATAACATACAACCAAAAACACAAGGAGTGAAATCAAATGGCAATTTATTAGGATAGAACAATGAAAAAGAAGACTTATTGTCTAAAATGGGAAAAGGCGTGTGTTTAATAACATAAACTGATGTAAGAACAACATAATATGGTTTTGGCTCATGCATATTGGTGTGGGCAACATCCAATAGATGATGATGTTTCCGTTCGGCAACACTATTTTATTGGGACGTATATGAACCGATGGTTTGATGGATAATACCACGGTCAGCACAAAAGGTTTTCATAAATGATTGAGTATACTCAAGGGTCTTATCAGACTTAAGAACTTTAATACGGATATCAAATTGAACCAGAATTTCATTATATACAGTATTAAACACCTTAGGTAATTTAAATCGGTCTTTCATAAGAAATAAACAAATTATACGAGAGAAATCATCAAATAAACATTACAAAATACTAAAAATCAAAAATACTTTTGACTCTTGCAATACCCTAAATGTCTGGGTGAACAACATGACAAGGACTCGACCGACGACTTAAAGAACTAGGAGGAAAAGAACAACAGTGATACTTGCCTAATTAACAAGCCTCACATTCTAATACAGAAGAACTCAAACCATGTGTAACCTGACGCAATTTTTTCAAGGAAGGATGATCAAATTAGAAGTGTCATTGAAGAGGAGACATGCTAACTGCCTAACACTTAGGGCAAGAACAAAACAATTAAAATATAAGCAGTAAATGGCATTGTTCTCATGTTGTAAACCAATCACCTTCTTCACCTTGAGGTCCTGGAAAAGACAAGATGAATAGAACGTTACTGAAGAGTTTAAGGACCTCGTTAACTAACTCACTGATAATAAATTAAAAGGAAAATTAAGAACAAACAAACCAAAAATTAATGGCATAGACTGAGTAAGACAAAGATCGTCAGTCCCATGTACTGGTCGAAAATAACCCTCAACTAATACAATATGTGAGTTAAACGAATGAAAATTAGAAAATAGGAAAAGAATACCAGGGATATGAGCACTAGCCCCAAAATAGAATAATGAAGGAGGTTAAGCCATACTACATCAAAGTTACCTCTATTAGCAATAGAAATGAATAAATGTTTAGAAAGTAAAGATAACTGTGGGATGATTTGACCAAACTGAGAAGAAAGATTATCATGAGAACCAGTTTTACATGTAACTGGGTCATTGGTAGAAGTCTGATGTACTAGAAAATCTGAAGTATCATTAGAAGTTTGATTAACATATGTTGATCTCTTATATTTATCCCAACAATAATTCTTTGTATGTCATATGCCACGACAAAAAATACCATTTCATTCAAAGTGATGACCACAACTATGATGACGCCTCCACTACGTTGTGTGCATAGACCTCTACGACTGACAAAATGAGGCGCTGAAGTGAACCCACCACAAATCATCAACCACAATCAAGAACTCACAATCCATAAGCCAAAATAGGGCAAAACAACAACACTCTAAAGCAACCTGGAGAATAACAATACATCTCCCCCAAAAAACAAGTCAAAGAAGTTGTTGTTCAAAGCAAATTTGCCCAAACCAACAAGAGGCAAAAGGAGCAAAACCCGTAGTTGAAAAAATGACCAAAAGACAAAAAAAATCAATGTCGACTAGTTCTTGAGACAAAAATCACCCAAAAAAAAAACCAAAAAATAGAAGGGTCAATCACAAACAAATTCCATAGTTAGTCAAACCTTTATTTTCTGCAAAACTGCAAGCCAATCATCAACAATAAGGCACAAATAAGGACTATGATCATGAGATAATTGTAATCTCATTAGCTAAGAAAAACAATCACAACCAATGGAATTGAATAACGACTCCTCCAGACATGATTTAGGATCCCAAAAATTTCACACAACTAGTCAAAGTCCACAATGAGCAGTAACTCGCAATGAACAGTAGCCATGATGAACAGTGTCATTGTGAACAGTACCATTGTAAACAGTATTCGGGGATGAACAGTACAACATGTGATGGCAGGGTAATGCAAAATTACAAAAATGGTAATGCAATATATATGTAGGAATTGCCGCTAGACTACATGTGATGGCAGGGTGTGCAGAACCAACAAAAAACTCACTATTGAAGGATCTAAAATATCAATGGCATAGAGTCCATAATCATCCTCAGGAACCAGGATCTCGATGCTATCATCCAATTGTTCTGTATAACCTATAAAACCCAAATCACACAACAATATCAAGTGAAACATCGTAGCGGTATATGTTGGACAGTTGTAGAGACCGACAAACCCAAAATACAAGCTTATCATACATATTTGGAACCAACTTCACCTGAAAGAATAAGCTGTGGTAGTGAGTCCACCAAATGCCATATATATATATATAAGTCAATTCTTTTCCACATTACTCTTCCATTGTGGAATTTAACCCTCACATAAAATCTCAACATGATATCATAAAGAAACCAAGTCTAGTACTACTACTTTGGTGTGATTGAATTCATTCATCCATTCTGCTTATCTTTTTGTAATTTTCCAATTTTAAAATGAAAAATATACTGAAACTTAGAACTCAAAGATGTCATTTCCTCTGATTTTTTAAAATTGACAACCAAATTCTCATGTTCTTTTTTCTAGTCTTTTTCTCAGCTACCAAACCAGATTGAAAATAAAACACGCAATTTGTGCTACACGCGCTCGGAATGTGAGTGTGTGAAAGAGAGAGAGACCTGTCTTGGGATTATAGAGAGACCAGAGCTTCTTCCTGAACTCCAAATCAGCAAGAAGAATGCGGACCCAGACCCGGGTCTCGAACCCGAGCTTCTTTTTCTTTGAATGAAGAATGGACCCACCGATGCCGGAAACCAGAAGGACCGGGTCTCGATCGGAGACACTGTCTGCAATTGCGTCAGAGCTCCGGCCAAGGAAGCAACAGCAGCAATTCCCGAGCATGTTTTCCTGGAGTCCGATGAGGCTTCGGTTCGTACTTATGAGGACGGTGCCAGTGGTGGTGGTAGTTGTGCAGTTGGTCTGACGCTTTTGCAGAGTGCAAAAATGGACGATACAACGAAGCACAGTACAATAAAAATTTGCACGGTAGTCCTTCAAAGTTGCGTCATTTTACAACTAAACCCACTTTTGTTGTATGCTCCTTAACCATTTGTACAACGATATTTAATTAATCAAGTTGTATTCGATTGACACGGATAGTCCGTGAACGTAAAAATACAATGCTGGCACTGCTATTGTTTCAAGGTATTTTTAGAGTCTTTCATTATTTCTATTATATTTTTAAATCTTTTTTAAAATTTTATCGAAAAATTTTTGTTTTTTAAGTGATCGAAATAATGAGCCAAATCAAATTTTTGATCTTTTTACTAGATTTATATGACATCAAAACTATGTAAAACACTTATAATGCTACTAGTGTTAAAAAATTTAAAAACATATAAATGCTTTTTTATATGATAAGAGTTAAAAGAGATTATCATATCAAAATTAAGTTATTGAAGTTTGATATTAATCAACTTATTTATTATTTATATTAGTGAGTTGTGTTTTTTTCTGGTCTGTGACTAGCAAGATTGTTTTATGGAAAAATAGATTAGCATGGTCAAATTGAGAAGTAATTATATATTTGTATGTGCGCGACAGAAAGTCAAATTACTTGCAAAAGAAGGAATTTTAAAGCATCTAAATTGAATATTCTTAGGACCTTTTCTCAAAGGAGACCAAATCATTGCAAAAGTTCAGAGGTTCAGCGGAAATTGTATGAAACGCACCAGCAGAACGTGTATAAAATTATATGCCTCCCACCCACATAGTAAAGTCAAAACTATTCCGTTTGATTTTATTAATTTGGAGTAATGGGAGTGATGGCATGTGCAAATTATACATGTGAAAGTTATTTTATTATGCTGCCCAAGTAATTTATCTATATAATAAAATAGTTTATAATTCAAATTTTGAAAGATAAAATAAAATGATTTTTGCTATTCGCGGTTAAGATCGTTTTAAATTTTACTTTAAAGTTAATCTAACGGCTAATATTAACACCCTAAATTTAATATAAAAAATAGGTTTTTAAATATGTGTTTGGATTGACTTTTTTAAAGTATTTTTAGAAATTATTTCTCATAAATAATTTTTAAAAAAATAGTGTTCGAAACTGCCCTACCACTACCTCTACCACCACCGCAGCCAATGCCGCCGTCTTCGCCGCCACCACCACCACCTTTGTCGTCGTTGCCACCACCGCCCCACCCCCACCACCACTGCCACTACCACTAGCACCGTCGCCACCACCCCCGCCACCATCACCACCGCAGCCACCAACATCGTTGCAGTTGAGATCGCTTTAAATTTTATTTTAAAGTTAATCTAATGACTAATATTAACATTCTAAATTTAATATGACAAATAAACCCCCAAAAGTGTGTTTGGAGTGACTTTTTAAAAGTATTTTTAAAAGTTATTTCTCATATATACTTTAAAAAAAAATAGTGTTTGGAATTGCCTTACCATTACCTCTAACACAACCACCCCCACCCGCTCCACCACCACCCCCCACCACTAGCACTACCACCCCACCATCATCACCACCACTACCACTTCCATCACCGGCCCACCACCACCGCTGTCGCGTCCTACCATCATCGCTATCACTGTCGCACCTTACCACCACCGCTACTGTCCCACCATCATCCCCACCACCACTCTCGTGACCATCACAACTACCACCATCCCCATGACTATCACAACTATCACCACCATCGCCAACCCACCACTACCACCCCCACCATCGTCGTTGTCTCACCTTCACCCCCACCCCACTCCACCCCCACCCTCATTGCCCCACCGTGACCACCACCATTGCCACCCACCACTGATTGCTACCATCGTCGTTCATGACAATCATTTACTACCCATCGTTGTCATTTTATTTTTATATTTATTATCATTACCACCATCATCTCATTACCACTGTCGCCCACCATCATCCCACTACCACTGTCGCTCATCGTCATCACCCATCACTGCAGTCACCCCATTGTCACCTACCCCCCAACACTCTTATCACGACACTCATCACACTGTTGCCTAAAAGCACCCATCAACACCTACCACCACCATCATTATTATCCACCACCACCATCATCATCCCACCACCACCACTACCAACCACCATCACCATCGTCCACCACTACCCACACCCACCACCGCCACCCCGTTGTCACCCCATGATTGCCACTACCAGCATTGTCACTCAAAACCCACAACCACCATCACCATTGCCACCTACGGCTGCTACCACCATCACGGTCGTCGCCTTACCCATCATAACTATCATCGTTTCCCATCATCACCACTATTGCCCACCATCACTACCACCCTCACCCTCACTATAATCAGTACTTAATTTTTCTTATCTCTCCTCTTTGTTTGCAATTTGATTTTGGATGCGAATACAAATATGTCGACCATTTGGGAATAACTAGTATTACTATAAAATGTCAACAAAAATGAAAAATATATACTACTATAAAATGTCAACAAAAGTGAAAAATTTTTAATAGACTAAAATAACCTTCATAATACAACTAATACCAAAATTATACATTTTAGTTTTAATAAGAGATTTAAAATCTATACTCTAATGACTCTTGGGTATCAATATAAATTTAAATCTCTTCCTCTCTCTTTTAATGTGTTGATTAAAGACTTTTGGCTACAATAACATTTTCTTATATTGTTTATTAAGCTCTCAGTAATTAGTGCTTATCAATAGACTTTAATCGCTTAAGCAACTCAAACGTGCTAGTTTTTAAGAGGAGAGAGCAAAAAGTTAGTAAACTTCATATACTCTAGGGAGTTACTTAATCCTTCTAGGCCTCTTGGAGTTCTAATATTACTCTAGGGACAAGAAGTTGCATTTTATATATTATGCTAGTAGAGTTTTAAAAAATACACAGCTGAATTATGGGATTACTAAAAAAGAATTGTTTACTGTTATGCTTGCTTTTGACAAGTTTTAATCTTGTTTTGTACGTTCCAAGGTGATCGTATATACGAACCATTCAACAATCAAGTATGTGCTACAAAGTAAAGATGCCAAACCACGCATGATTCGGTGGGTGTTGTTGCTTCAAGAATTTGATTTTGAGATTCAAGACAAGAAAGGCATGGAGAATGTGGTGGCAGATCACTTGCCTAGATTAGGGGGCAGTCAAGAGCAAATAAGGTGACCATTAATGAAAGCTTGCCAGATAAGCAATTGTTGGGAGTTTCAATCATCCCTTGGTATGCTGACTTGGTGAACTATTTGGTGAGTGGCATTGTCCCCCTTGATTTGATCTATCATCAGAAAAAAAAAGTTTTGTGGGATGTGAAGCATTATTTTTGGGAATAACCGCTACTTTATAAACACTGTGCAGATGGGATGATTAGAAGATGTGTGCCCCAGGATGAGATGCAAGATATCCTTGACCATTGCCATTCCTTGGAGTGTGGTTTTTTCTGGCCAACCATGTACCAAGATGCTAGATAGTATGTGAGCATGAGTGATAGATGTCAAAGGGTTGGCAACATTTTGAAAAAGAATGAAATGCCCTTGAACAATATCTTGGAAGGTGAACTGTTTGATTTATGGGGAATTGATTTCCTGGCCCCATTTTCCTTCTTCCTTTAACAATCAGTACATCTTTGTAGCAATGGATTATGTGTCTAAATGGGTTGAAGCAAGTGAAACTCAAACTATGACTCTCGGGAGGTGATAAGATTTGTGAAGAAAAATATTTTTTCAAGATTTGGTGTACTGAGAGCCATTATTAGTGATGAAGGCTCTCATTGTTGTAACCATTTAGTTGAGGCTTTGTTGAAAAAATATGGGGTTACTCATAAAGTGGCACTTGCCTATCATCCCCAAACAAATGGGCAAGTGGAACTTGCAAATAGGGAATTGTAGCAAATTTTGGAGAAAATTGTGAGTAGTTCAAGAAAGGATTGGGTGAATAAGTTAGATGATGCACTTCAGGCACATAGGACAACGTTCAAGACACCTTTGGGTATGTCTCCATACCGACTTGTCTTTAGAAAGTCTTGTCACTTACTAGTTGCATTAGAATATAGGGCCTATTGGGCTATTAAATAGTTAAACAAGGACTTGTAAATTGCAGGAGAAAAGAGATTGTTACAATTGAGTGAGTTGGAGGAGTTTAGGTTGGATGCTTATGAAAATAATCGGATTTACAAGGAAAAGACCAAGCATTGGCATGACAAGCATCTTCAGATTAGAAACTTTGAAATTGGGCAGCAGGTGTTACCCTTCAACTCAAGACTTAAGCTATTCCCAGGCAAGCTTCGGTCTAGGTGGTCTGGCCCATTCACGGTAACAAAAGTGTATCCATATGATGTTGTTAAGGTGCATAGTGAGGTCACTGATGCATTCAAGATTAATGGGCAGCGTTTGAAGCCTTATCTTGCTGGTAATGTGGTTCCTAAAGGAGTTACTTACTCCTTGAAGAATCCTACCTTTGGTTGATGGTGTAGAAGTATTGCAAAAAAAAAAAAAAAAAATCTTTCTTTTGTTTTAGTTGTTGTTTTAATTTAAGTTTTTTTTTTTGGACTAATGATGGTTGTGACCCCTCTTCTTTTAGTTGTTGTCATGTTCAACTCAATCAAACATTCGTAGTGTTCAGCCTCGATAAAAGGGGAGTATTAGTCTTCCATTTTTCTTTCCTTTTACGTTGAGGACAATGTGAAAATTAAGTTTTAGGGATAGGATATTTGATTATGCTGGTATTGGTTATATTTGTTGAAAAAAAAAATTCTTTAAAATTCTGGTCTGTTCACATTCATGCAAGTTAATTGGTGATCATGTCCATGTCTTCCAAATTAGATTTTTATGTGAAATATTAGGAGAAATGAACCTGCATTTGCACTTGTGTGAGACT